TTCTGATTATCAAAAGGCTGGTGCCAAGGCATTTATGAGAAATTTGCCCCCATGACCAAAAAACTTCCCTACCTAGTTCCACATCCAACATGGAGGATTACATTGCAGCATGAGGTTTGCAGAACATGGACATCCAAACCATACCACAGACAAACTAGGCTTAACACACATGTACAAAACTTTTCAGTTAAAAGCAAAATAATACACAATATTCTTATTTATAAATGATGTATTCTGTTAGAACACATAAAAAGTCTTATTAAAGAATACCAGCTGGGTGTAGTGGCTGATATGTATAATTTCAACAATCTGGAAGACAAAAGTGAGAGGATCCCTTGGGACCACAAGTATAAGACAAGTGTCAGTAACATAGTGAGACCCTGTCCCTACAAATAATCAAAAAATTGGCCAGCTATGGTAGTGCATGTCCATAGTCTCAGCTACTCAGGAGGTTGAGTTGTAAAGATCACTTGAGTCAAGGAGGCTGAGGTTACAGTGAGCCAAAATTATGACACTATACTCCAGCCTGGGTGACAGAGTATGATCCTGTCTGAAAACAACAACAACAAATAAATTTAAGAAGACTAAAATCATGCACTGCATGGTAACTGACCAGAACTGAATAAAACTAGGAATTAAAAGCAAAAGTAAAATTGGCAAATCCAACAATATCTAAATATAAAACAGATGAGCTGAGTGCAATGGCTCACACCTGTAATACCACCACTTTGGGAGGCTGAGGCAAGAGAACTGCTTGAGCCCATGAGTTAGAAACTATCCTAGGCAACATAGGAAGACTCTGTCTCTAACAAATAAAATAAAATTAAAACATATTCTTCAACATATTCCTGCTAAGGGTCAAACATTTTAATTTTGTTGAGATATCAATATAACCTACAGAGGTGAACAAATTCAGTACAATCTCTATAAAAATCTCAATAGCACAGTTATTACAGAAATATTCTTAAAATATTTGATTGTGAACTATAACTAACCAAACACCCATGAAAAGAACAGAGGCATTATACTTCCTGATTTTAAAACATTAAAAGCTACAATAACAGTAACAGTATAGTACTAACACAAAGACAGATAAACAGATGAAAGAGCAGAATAGAGTTCAGAAATGAACCCTTGCGTATATGATTAGATGAACTTCCACAAAGCTGCCATGAACATACAATAGAGAAAAGATAATTTTTTCAAAAAATAATGTTAAGAACTAAATATCAACATTGGTAAAATAAAGTTGGATCATTTCCTTGAACCGTATATAAAAAAAGTTTTCAATAAAATACTTACATAAAAAAAAAACAAATCTCTTAGAACAAAACAGAAAAAAGTCATGACATGGGTCTTGGCATCATTTTCTTAGCTACAACATTAAATGCATGAACAACAACAAAAAAACAGAAAAATTTAACTACACTCTACTTCAAAATTTCTCCACATTAGAAAAAAAAAACATTCAATTGTGTGAAAATGCCTCATAAGAAATGGGTGAAAATATTTGCAAGTCACATGTGATAAGAGTTAATATTCAGGCCAGGCGCAGTGGTTCACACCTGTAATCTCAGCACTTTGGAGGCCGAGGTGGGTGGATCACCTGAGGTCACAAGTTCAAGACCAGCCTGACCAAATTACAAATTAGTAATTTGTAGAGAAACGCATAAAAATCAAAATGAAAAATGAAATCACCTCACATCCACTACAATGGCTTCTATAAATTATTTGAAGATGCCAAATCTGTTGATGATGCAATGACAATGAAACCTCTGTTGACGCTGGTAGAAAACAAAGATGCAGTCATCATTTTAAAATGTTACGTTTCTCAAATAATTAAAAATGGAATTATCAAATACAGCAACTCCATTAATGAATCTATATTCAAAATACGCAACAAAAGACCTAGAAGACATATTTGAACAGCTATGATTACTGTACCAGTACTCACAAAAGTCAAAAGGCTGAGGCAACCCAGGTGTCTCTTGATTTATGAACACATCAAAAATGTAACATATACATACAATGGAATATTATTCAGACTTAAAGAAGAAAATCTTGTCACATTTTAAGATAAACTTTGAGAATATTACATCACCTGAAATAAGCCAGAAACAAAATGATGGACACTGTATTATTCCACTTACATGAGATATCTTAAATAGTCACACTCATAAAAACAGAAAGTGGAAGGGTGCTTGTCAAGGGCTGGGGAGAGGGCAAAATGGGTTGTTGTTACTTATTGGGTATTTTTAGTTTCATAAGATGTAAAATTTCTGTAAGTCTTTGGCATACCAATGTGAATCTACTTAACATGGTTAAAATGTAATTATTATTATTATTTTTGAGATGATATTTCACTCTTGTTGCCCAGGCTGAAGGGCAATGGGGCAATCTCGGCTACTGCAACCTCTGGCTCCCAGGTTCAAGCAATTCTCCTGCCTCAGCCTCTCGAGTAGCTGGGATTACAGGCACCTGTCACAAGGCCCCGCTAATCTGTGTATTTTTAGTAGAGATGGGGTTTCACTATGCTGGTCAGGCTGGTCTTGAACTCCTGACCTCAGGTAGTCTGCCCACCTCAGCCTCCCAAAGTGCTGGGATTACAGGCATGAGCCACCACGCCTGGCCTGTAAAACTTTCTTTTGTTTATGAGACAGTCTCACTCTGTCACCCAAGCTGGAGTGCAGTGGCACAACTCACTTCAGCCTCAAACTTCCAGGCTCAAGTAATTCTCTTCTCTCAGTTTCCCAAGTAGCTGAAACCACAGGTGCACACCACCATGCCTGGCAATTTTTAAAATAATTTTGTGGAGAAGGAATCTCCCCGTGTTGCCCTGGCTGGTCACAAACTTTTGGGCTCAAGTGATCCTCCTTTCTTGACCTCCCGAAATCCTGGGATTACAGTTGTGAGCCACCACCAAGTCTGGCCCTGAAATGTACACTTAAAGAAATTTTTGGTAGGCTGGGAGCAGTGGTTCATGCCTGTAATCCCAGCACTTTGGAAGGCTGAGGCGGAGGGATCACTTGAGGCCAGGAATTCAAAACTAGCCTGGCGAACATGGCAAAACCCTGTCTCTACTAACAATGGAAAAAATTACCCAGGCGTAGTGGCGGGCACCTATAATCCCACCTACCCAGGAGGCTGAGGCAGGAGAACTGCTTGAACCCAGAAGTTGGAGGATGCAGTGAGCCGAGATCACGCTATTGCACTCCAGCCTGGGCGACAGAGGAGACTCGATGTCTCAAAAAAAAAAAAAAAAAAAGATTTAAGATGGTAAATTTTATGTTACGTGTTTTTGAAACCATTAAGTTTTCTTTTTCTTTTTTTTTTTTTGAGACAGAGAATCACTTAAACCCGGGAGGCGGAGGTTGCAGTGAGCCAGAGATCGCGCCACTGCACTCCTGCCTGGGCAACAGCAGCCAAATGCCGTCTCAAAAAAAAAAAAAACACAAAAACAAACAAACAAAAAGGTGAAGAGGTGTCTGTTCTGTCAAATTTACAGACACCAATGCAAAACTGTATTGTGCTCACTGTCAATGCTTCTATTTTAACGTAGGACTGGAAGTAAGTGGCAGAATGATGAGTCAAAAACATTTTTAAAAAGCCACTGAAAATGAAGATAAGTAAGTAAAAGTTACTATTTGTGCATCATATGATCTTATATATATATATAAAATAAACACTACATTGAAATTTGTCTAAAGCAATAAATACACTCGGTAAATTAGCAAAATATAAAATTAACCTACAAGTATAAATTATTGTTCCATAAATTTAAACCATCTGATACAATTAAGAAAACAATCTTATTTACAATAGCATTAAAATAATAAATTTCTGAGAGCAAATTTAACCAAGAAGGTAAAAAAAATCTTTACATTAAAAGATATAAGATAGACCGGCACAGTGGCTCACGCCTGTAATCCCAACACTTTGGGAGGCCAAGGCAGGCAGATCACGAGATCAAGAGATCAAGACAATCTGACCAACATGGTGAAACCCTGTCTCTACCAAAAATACAAAAAATTAGCTGGGTGTGGTGGCATGCGCCTGTAGTCCCAGCTATGCAGGAGTCTAAGGCAGGAAGATTGCTTGAACCCAGGAGGCGGAAGTTGCAGTGAGTCAAGATCACGCCACTGCACTCCAACCTGGCAAAAGAGCGAGACTCCTTCTCAAAAAACAAAACAAAACAAAAAAGATGTAAGATACCAATGAAATAAATTACTGAAGACACAAATTTTAAAATATTTCATGTCCATGGATTGAAAGAATAAATATTGTTAAAGTGTCATATATTATCTAGTCTATAGCTTCAATAAACTTCCTATTAAAATTCCAGTGACATTTTTTTCACAGTAACAAAAAATACAATTCTAAAATTTACAAGAAACTGCAATAAACTTCGAAAAGCCAAAGCAATCTTGAGGCAAAAGAACAAAGCAGAGGGGTATTATACTTTATAATTTCTAACTGTATTTCAAGAATATAGTAGTAAAAACAGGATGGAATGTGCAGAAAGATTAACAAACAAATCAATGGAACAGAAATCACTACTTTCACACATTTCAGACATGATGAAAAAAGAGAACTAAAAAATAGTTTAACATAGAGTTTCCCAAAATTATGCAGATATCTGTGTGTGTGTACCCCAAAATAATGGAAAAGCAGGCAGATTGTACAGTCTTTTATACACCATGAAAAGGACTCTGGCTCTCACTGTAAACTTGAAGGAAGATCACCAAAAGGAAAGAATATTTAAAGAATTTAAAAAGCATAAGACAGAAGATGCCCCTACATGACAGCAAAAAAAATAAAAATAAAAATAAAAAAATAAAGTAAATAAAAAATTTTAAAAACCCCAAAAACAAAAAAACTCAGGCGTCCCAGAAACTATTTCCTTTGGAACACAGCTTCCCAAATCACATTTTAATGACCAGTTTTCTTTTTGACCTTTGGACCTCTCATCTGTGTCATCTGTTGTGTTCACTCTCACCTACCTGAGGGTTTGGCTACCATCTCATGTCTCTTTATATTCCAGGGCTCCTTTCCTTGCTCCAGACAGGTGATCAGGTCTGGCTTAGTGACAGCAATACCTGCTTTATTAGAAATAAATAACATGAATCTTTCTCATATTCTCCAATTAGCATCCTAGTAGTATGCTTAGTAAAGACGAGGTGATAGAATATTCTAGAATAATCCCAAAATACTAATGAGAGAAATTTCTAAATATTTAGAAAATATTTAAAACTTGTAGGTCCTTAATTTCACTATCTAGTACTCATGAATCAAAAAATTGGTGGTGACGAATAGATTTTAAAATATGGGCAAATATATATACACATTTATTTATTTTTGAGATGGAGTCTCGCTCTGTTGCCAAGGCTGGAGTGCAGTGGCATGATCTTGGCTCACTACAACCCCCGTTCTCCTGGGTTCAAGCGATTCTCCTGCCTCAGCTTCCTGAGTAGCTGGGACTACAGGCACATGCCACCATGCCTGGCTAATTTTTGTATTTTCACTTTGTTGGCCAGGCTGGTCTCAAACTCCTGACCTGTGACTCACCCGCCTCAGCCTCCCAAAGTGCTGAGATTACAGGAGTGAGCCACCATGTCCGGCCTAAAATCATGGGCAACAATATTTTATGCCACTAAATTTCTGGAATTACCACTGATCTAGAGTGAAGGATACAGATCAGCTTCAGAATGTGGGAAGTTCAGGTCAAGATGAAACATCTTGAAGACATTCTTTTCCACACAGACAAAGTCTCAAGATTTTCTTGAAAAAACAGATCAGAAACTCATTTATGCAAAGCATAAATTACCAAAAATCATTCCACAAAAAAAGAGAAAGGAAACTTTTAGGGTATATTAGAAATTGTGTATTAAAGGTATTCTTACCCAAGAAGACCAGGTTTCTGTAGTTCTCTAACATCACTTTCCTATACAAACCCTGCTGAGCAGTGTCCAGGCATTGCCACTCCTCCAGAGAGAATTCTATGGCCACATCCCTAAACGTCAATGGCCCCTGAAAAACATAAGCACACAGACATACATATATTTACCAAGTGGCCATGAGGAGAAGTTATCATTTTAATTATAATGAAACAACAGAGTAAAGAGAATTGGTTCTGATTAACAGAAGTAACTGAAAATTTGCAGTAATTTTTAACACAGAAATATTCTCTAAAATATCCTCTAACTCTGAGAGAAGAGAATGGCATAAGATCCACAACACCAGTGTATATATGATACTTTTTAGATAATAAAGTATAAAATTAAGAGCATAAACACAAACACACATTTTTGAGTGCAATATTTACATCATAAAGAATGAGCTGTGTATATTTTTAAGACAAAAAAGAGATGTTGAGTTAGAAGGCTCCTCTTGAATTTTAATGTGTACAATAAACTGGAAATCTTGTGCAGACGTTTTTTCAGAAGATCTGGAATGAAGTCTGAGTTTCTGAATTTCTAATGAGCTCACTAGTAATGCCAATGTTTTTAGCCCCAAAAGAAAATTCTGTGAAACATCCAGTAGCTGGAAGAGCCTGTGTTTTGCCTGATTTTTCTGGCCTGTAAACAAAGAGACTTCATTTTCCAAAGACAGATATATGCAAAGAAAACCTAAGAAAAAAGGGCACCTGCCACATTAAATGTGATGGCTTATGCACATTATCTGCATAAAGATACCTAATAATGACAAGAAAAATAGTTAACTCTGTAGTGAAAGAAATATCAGAGCGCTTTTTAACCAAGTAAATTATTAATATAAACCACATTGAGACAAACTTTTATGGTGTGCTGATGCACATAGAAGAACATAGCCTCATCACCTAGATATTGCCCCTCAAAAAGTAAATTATAGTCTGAATTCAATCATACAGAAACATCAGTTTTATGCAAAGTTCAAGATACAGGTATCTCCAATGTTCTATAATTTTCAATAATGATTTTATTTATTTATTTCTTTTTTTATTTTTTTAATATTGTTTATGTTATTTATTTCGACGCTCTTTTTTTTTTTTTTTTTTTGAGACGGAGTCTCGCTTTGTGGCCCAGGCTGGAGTGCAGTGGCCAGATCTCAGCTCACTGCAAGCTCCGCCTCCTGGGTTTATGCCATTCTCCTGCCTCAGCCTCCCGAGTACCTGGGACTACAGGCGCCCGCCACCTCGCCCGGCTAGTTTTTTGTATTTTTTAGTAGAGACGGGGTTTCACCGTGTTAGCCAGGATGGTCTCGATCTCCTGACCTCGTGATCCGCCCGTCTCGGCCTCCCAAAGTGCTGGGATTACAGGCTTGAGCCACCGCGCCCGGCCGCTATTATTTTTTTTTTTGAGATGGAGTCTCGCTCTGTCCCCCAAGCTGGAGTGCAGTGGCGCGATCTCGGCTCCCTGCAAGCTCCGCCTCCCGGGTTCACACCATTCTCCTGCCTTAGCCTCCCGAGTAGCTGGGACTACAGGCACCCGCCACAACACCCGGCTGATTTTTTGTATTTTTAGTAGAGATGGAGTTTCACCGCGTTAGCCAGGATGGTCTCAATCTCCTGACCTTGTGATCCGCCCCGCCCGCCTCAGCCTCCCAAAGTGCTGGGATTACAGGCGTGAGCCACCGTGCCTGACTCCAATAATGATTTTAAGTAGTCTTTCTTTAGCACCCTACAGAGCAGGTATCTCTCTGTTTTTTTTTTTTTTCAGAACTTTCTGGGTAATAAATGCCACCCTATTTAAATAAGTATTTTCTTAATCCTATTCTGCATAGAGCTACTGGAGAACACAGATGGAACCTCAACGTTACATATCCTCCATGTAAACCCCAGCTTTTCCCAATAGGAATCTTGAGTATCCACATCCTTCCATGTTCAACAGCCATAATGGGAACATTTTTAATAGTGCAGATCATAAATTCATGGCAGGAATTCTGCATGGCATATAAGAAGCCATGATATTGAGAATGTAGAGAAGGCTCTAGTACATAGGAAATAAATATTCTGCATAGACCTTTGACTACCATTAGAATTTTAAAAAGTAGTTAAACTCATTAGTAAGGAAAAACACAAGTAGAGAAGTAAAGGTTTGCAAATACTAAATGCGTGAGACTCAAGAAGAAAGAAGGGACAAATCTCTTGATCTGAGACATGTTTAGCTGAAAAAATAAAAATAAAAATAAAAATAAAAATTCCTCTTTCTCCTCCTTCTCTTGGAATCCTTTTCAGATGAAATTCTCTAAACAAGTTAACACTTTTCTTGAGAAAACTGCCTTAAACACGTCAGCACCATCTTCTTACCTGCTAGCATCAGACCCACAGACAGAAGGACCAAGACCAAAAAGTCCACCCATTTCTCTCCTTTATAACAGAAGAGATTCAAGAACAATGTGCTGCTCCATGGATGTAAAAATATGTTTCTCCTTTCCTGTCCTCAGGTGCCCTCCCCTGCCACAAACACCAGCAATTTCTGCTACAGTAATGAAAATATGGGCCACACTGTCCTGTCCCTACCAAACCCAAACAGAACAGGTCCTGTAACCACCCTTTAGTGCAAAGGTGGCACTTAACTCTCATGAATGTATCTTGAAGCCCTCATATTTGATTCTGGCCTCACCTTAGAGTCACATGAGGCCCTTCATTTAAACAACATGGATGCTTCCACCCACAACAATAAACAGGAGCTGTGGGGAGGGCACAAGAGGTTTCTGCCAATTGGCCGTGTGATACTAATGAGAAGCCTGGGCTGATAACCACTAAGCTAAGCATTGCCTCTTAAGCTTTAATGAACTTAAAAATCACTTGGTAATGTTGGTCCCACTCTACATAACATGATTCTGCAGGTTTGGAAAGGGTCCATAGATGGGTGTTTCAAACAAGTCCCCGGTCAATGCTGATGTTGCTCCCCTGGCTCATCATTAGCATTAGTTAGAGAAAGCGGGCACAGCATAGAGTCCCTAACACCCAGCACTCTTGTCACGACACAAATACTTCTGGTACAAATGAAGACAACTACACTCCATCTTGAAGTTTTATATTATTTGCTGGCCCTTTAAAGTTTACAGAGGAAACAGAAGGCAGCAATGTTGGAATAAGTCTGCATTTGGAAAACAACATGTACATATGTAGTAATGCAATAATTATTAAGCAGGTACTGTGTGCTCAAGAGTATAATACAGAGCACTGTGCTGGGCATAACACATTGGAAGTTGATAGTAAGTGTTCAATAAGTCTCAGGATTTAGATAAAGGGCCCAGCATTATTACTTCTTCCTCTTGTTTCTCTGTCGTTGATTTTTTTAAAAAATGTACAGAATAAAGCTAAATATAGACAGAGGAGGGGGCCATAGAAAGAGTTTAAGAAATTTTTTTCTATTTATATTTACTTGCCTGTGATTTGTGGAGCAACTACTGGAACTGCAGGAATAGAAAACACGTTGCTAAATGGAATGTTTCTGTAAGCACTGGTTTTAACATAAAATTTTAAGAAATAAGATGTTAAAATGTATAGTTTATTTTTCTTATTTATCTGCTTTTGGGTTGCAGGAAATTGTAAGCACCAGCTCTAGAAAGGCAGAAGGATTTACCGGCCAAAACTCTGACCTTTACAAAACAGTTCTGAAAGGCAAGACTCCAGAGTGGGCCAGACCTAAAGAAGGCCCTTCAAAAAGAAATGGGGCAGGGAAAGGACCCTCTGTAGAATTCTGTTCTCCACGCCACTGGGGTATTTCCAGTTCTGTTTTTCCTAAGCTTACCTAAGAAAAACTTAAATCCCAGAGTTTATGTAACTTTAATCTATTTTTGCCACTGCTCTGTCAATTTTATAACTATACTAACAAGCAATTTAAGTGACTTTTTAAAAGCTTTCTGGAATAATTTTATTAGAAGATAAATATGCATTCTCAACAAAGTAAAAGATACACAAATAATAATAACTCTTCAGTCCATAAATATCCCTTCAGGTGATAACCTCAGAAGACACAACAATGTAAAAAGAAGCGGCCCAAGTTTTTTTTTTTTTGAGACGGAGTTTTGTTCTTGTTGCCTAGGCTCTCCAGCCTTGGCTCACCGCAACCTCTGCCTCCTGGGTTCAAGCGATTCTCCTCCTCAGTCTCCCGAGTAGCTGGAATTACAGGCATGCACCTCCACGCCTAGCTAATTTTTTTGTATTTTTAGCGGAGATGGGGTTTCTCCATGTTGTTCAGGCTGATCTCGAACTCCCGACCTCAGGTGATCCACCCGCCTCAGCCTCCTGCAGTGCTGGGATTACAGGCATGAGCCACCACGCCCGGCTGAAGAGGCCAAAGTTTTGTTTTGCTCTGCACACATCCATTCACCGTACCAACCATATGTTGTTTAATTCAACCATGTGTCCAGTTGCTAGTCTAGACCAAAAGTTTCTGGATGGTAGGGACCATGACTGCTTCATCTATTTTTTGAATGACCTTATGAAATGGAAGCAATTAGTTTATCTTTTGAGTCACCAGACCTCCTCTTTGTCTTTCATCAAAATAACAGGACACTAGAGAAACTCTCATCTGGGTACAAACCAAAGTTATCTCTTGTATGAGGGGAGAAAAAAAACACAGAATGACCCATTTCTCTCACACTGAGACACAAGCAGAATTAACCACTCTTGTCAGCCTGACACAATTCTACCCTGGACATCCTCAAATGTCTCAAAGACATCTAGGTGATTGTGAGAAGGTTCTTAGTGACCCTGGGCTGATGGTCCAATGATAAGCCAGGCTGAGAGAAATTCATGCTGATTCTAAATAGAAAATGGAACTGCCTTGGTGGAGCTCCAGAACCTGGATCACCTATCCTGATTTGCTAGCTTTTGGGTAAGAAGAACAATACTCTACGCCAGTATCTTATTTTACAGGTAGGTATAGTTGTGGTCATGGCTCTGGATACTTTGTGGCCTTGATCTCTCTCTCTTAAGACACTTGTTTACACTTACAGATTCTGTCATAAGATTCTGTTTAGGCCGGGCGCGGTGGCTCACGCCTGTAATCCCAGCTCTCAGGGAGGCAGAGGCGGGA